CTGAAGGAACTAATTTAACTCCACCACTGAGCAGCCTTCAGCATCAAGACCAAAGCACTAAAAAGCTCCTACTGCCCTCTGCGCTCTCCCAATAATCTGAAATTATTACAATTTAATTGTAAATTTCATGGCACTACACTAAGACCCCCCCCCACCCTCTTTTTCGAACGAAATAGCTTAGAGAGGCGTGAGCAAGTCCCATTTACACCTGCTCAGGTGCTGGGCTCTTCCTTCTCGGCAGCTGGTTCTCTCAGTGGCTGGCTACATAGGAAACAGTTTTTCTCACTTCAAGTCTCATAAAAAAACTCCCAAACAAACACCTGTTGTGCACAAGGCAGGGCATATATTAAACACTGGCATCAGGTGATCACAAAAAGAAAAACAAGTTTTGCAGAGACATCCACAAGCCAATCTGGTCCACATATTTCACGACTAGGTAAAACAGCAGTGCAAAAAAAAAGGACAGAACTTCTGGCACGACCTTCTCATGAATGGGATCTGACTTCTAAACAAGGCATTGAAAAATGCCTTCGCACAAACCGGCTGTAATTAATAAGAATAATTTATTAAAGACACAAAGAACGCTGTCTAATTGTCTTTCCCGACTGCTATGCACTTTCCCCACCGTACTTCCTCTCTGCAGAATACTAGCCGTGAAGCCCTAATTGCAAGAACATTATCTATTGCACGCAAAAGCAAAGCACTCCTTGAACTCAAACATTTCTTATAATATTTATTTTTAGGGTTGGCAACACATACCAAATCTGCTTAATTTCCATTAAGCACATGGTCACATGCACATTGAAATAAACTCTAAACATCCCAGGAAAAAAAAAAAAAAAGAAAGAAACTGTCATGCATAAGATACCCCAAATTTGGCCAGAAGCACCCGTTTCAGGAACTTGCCTCATCTTATGGCCTGCTGCTGTTTCAGCTTTTGGCACCTTTAACCTTAATTCATCCAAGTGCTGCAGAACAGAAATTATGTTTAAAATCAGTTTAAGATGGCTGCTTGGATAGCACATGTATAGCAAAGTGGCCTGTGGACTAGAGTAACAAATCACAAGAAAGATCATTTAGAAAATACATGGGCCCGAGTGCAAACTTACTTGGCTTGCTGGCTTGTCACACAAACTCAGTGTTTGATCACCTGGTGGGTGACTGACTACCATCACTTTAAAAAAATCTCCTGCAAAGAACAGACGTATATGTTGGCCCACCTATAAAGTTTGCCTACCTATTCAGCAGATGCTTCTCTTGAGTTTTTTTTTTTTTTTCCTTAAAAAGTAAACTCCTACCTACTTGAGAGCTTAATACATTCCGGATTTTTAAAAATACATTTTTAAAAAAGGCCAATATTGCTGGCTTAGCAAAAATGACATTTACTATAACTGAAATCTACAAAGGGAGTGTAACATCTAACAGGATAAAAAGGAAAGGAAAAAGCCCTTAGCAAAAATTAATTTTTTTTTCCTTTGGATGAACAAAAATACCACCTGTGTAAATCTAGCCACATTCTGGCCAGAATCTACCCTTTCTCAGTTACAGAGAAACAGCTCATTCTCAGTACCTTGAAGTTGCAATTAAATCGTAGTAATTTAAGATTATCAGGAGAGCAAAGGGCAGTGGGAGCTCTTTGGAGGGTTTCCCTCCCCACTTAATGCTCTTCAGTCAGGGGTTAAATGAGTTTCTTTAATGTAAGTACCTTAAAGTAACTGAATCATAAACAAAATTTATTTTTTTCCTGACAGCCTGAAATCTATTTAGGCTTTATTAATGTGTATGTAAAATTATTTTTCAAAGACCAAACTCTCGCTATACCCTGTAAATAGTCTTGGCATTCACACTGAAATGTGATCAGTACCATAATGCCTAACCTTGTCTAAATACACACTTTTTTGTGATGCAGAATCTCATAAAATAATGTTTCAAAGTTGGGTTTTAAGTCTTAAGTTAAACATGAAAACCAAATAAATATGCACAATAAGATTGGCTGCAAAGAGGAAGCTGGGTTCAAAAGAAGTTGTCACATCTGCTATATTCTCCCTTCCTTTTCTTAATTTTGGCATTGAATGTGCTGTGATATAAATATATTTGGGAAATATCACAATTCTTCTGTTAATTTAAACAACTGCTGAAAACAGACATACCCTTAGACAGAGCCTAAGATGCAAATTTCCAAGGCCAGGGATATAGTCTCAAAAAAAGCGAAGAAACTCAGTAGCAGAAAACCATGTCTAGGTTCCATGTTAACTCGGTTAACTTCTACTATTGTTAGTACAAATGACTTAACTACAAAATATTTACAGCTTTTAAAAAACATTACATATTACAGAAAATTGCCTAATAGCATCCATGTGTATGTTTAACTCACATTGCTTAATTATACAATAGATACATCCAATGAAAGCTACAGACTTTGAAACACTGTTGTGTATCATGGTTATGAAACTGGCTTATAAAAAAAAATATAAAGTGCTTACTACGTGACCCACAGTCGTTAATTAAAAGTCTAATCCTTAAATGACAATTATTTTAATTTTTCTGTATGTGTTTACTTATCCTACTTCCTACTTTGTTCTACTTAATTAAAAATGACATTTAATTTGGGGATAGTTTATAGCAGGAAAAAAAAGTGTTACACAGTTTATATTCCAGGATTTAAATATAAACACAAAATCTTAGAGACATCTCTAGCAATATAAACCCTTAATTTGAGACAGTTAATTTAAATAGTTGATGTTTCTTTCATTACACTTTGATAAACCTGTGAAAACAAAATGCTAAAGTAATTACTGTTACTACTCCCTTTAAAAATGTAAAGCAGTTAAACTTTCCTAGACAACAAGCAAGGACAAGTTACAGAGAACTTGAATAAAAGTAGCAACGTGGTCATGCTGAATGTCAATCTAAAAAAGGAGGTTATGTCTAATCTGGAGTCTGCTCCCTCTCGCCTTTTTAAATTCCAAGAGTGGGCTGACACAAAACTTCATCACCAGGGATTTTTTTTTTTTTTTTTTTTGAGCTTCACATCAGATTTAAACCCTCACATACAAAACCTTGGCTTCCCTGACAAGGCAGATCTTCTAAACTCGATGTGAGAAAATGTTATCTAACTCTAGTGTAGGAGTTTAACGTTGGTAAAAAGAATTCCACTGCACAGTACTGGGTAGCAAGACAGCCTCTGGATGTCTTAATATTCTTTCTATACCTTTTTGGATGCATTCTCTTCATAAAGAAAGATGCATTAAAAAATAAATACTTTACACAGCAACTCGGCATCCACAGGGATCTTAAATGTTGCCAGAGAGGGGCTGGGTCTTTCCCTTCAAGTGAGCCTACACTTGCACAGCACAGATCAGCATTTGCAATGGTCCATTTCTGCATAAGTGAACATGTAGCCTTGCTGCTTGATGGAACAGTCCAGGGTTCTCGGTGTAGCAGCTCCTGACAACAACCCAGCAGCAGTTCTGTTTGATCTCTCCTGCTTCCTTAATTTGGGTTGTCAAGGTTCAGCAGTTGGGGGCTGTTTACTTTTTCAAAAAAAAAAAAAAAAGTGATTTTTTTTTCTCTCTGTCTCATACAATGACTAATCCAAAGTCTAAGGGGGATGGTGGATGTAGCCAGTGGCAAGATGTTAAACCTTTTTTCCCCCTTTGCAATGAGATTTTAGCTGACACCTTTTGAATGGTAACTAGTTCAGTTCCTTTTTATATTTTTCATGCTCTTTAATTATGAGACATTTCAAACAGAGAGGAGGGAAAAAACCATTCAAAATTTCTGAAACTGTGAGCCCAGTTTTCTTCTCCTGGACTCAAAGAGATGGGTATTTCCACTTTGAGAATCAAAACTCCAATGGAATTCTTTAAAAAAAAAAAAAAACAAAACATATATTTCCCTCTGGAACAGAAAATATAGCCAAAACTCCTAAGTCTCAATTATGCCGGCGACCCCTGGGTAGAAAACACCTGAAGTCTTTTACAATTTCTTTTCAAATTCTAGTTTAAACATCTCTTTCCAAATTGATTCTCAGTGTGGAAAAAACAGAGCGAGGGAGATGAGACGGAATGTAAAAATTTTGTAGACATTTTTCCAATATATTTCAGTAGTAGAAAAATTCCTTAAACATTCTTGAGGTCTTTGTAAATCAGCTATTGTGCAGGTCCTAAAGCTTCAAGTCTCGGGACAAGCAATGGTGAAGTGTAGAGGGATTGAATATATAGGCTCCTTGCAGAGGGAATCCAGAATGCTCCTGCAGCATTCTTGTTTAAAAAGCAGTAACAAAAAAAAAAAAAAAAAAAGAAAGAAAGAAAGAAAGAAATGAAAGAAGAAAAAGAAAAAAAGAAGAGAAAATCCTAACTCAGAAAATACCTGTGACCAGACAGGAGAGCAACCCCAGCCCCCCAGAAGTGGACTGGAGAAGCTCAAACGCAATCAAATGAAATGTTTATATTAATTTCATCATTCTGCCCAACCCTCACAGATGACGGCTTGGTGGCGGGGAAGGAGAGAAGAGGAAGAAACAAGTTTCATTTTGGGTCTTCAGGTCGAGAAAAAGAAAATGAATTAAGACGAACGCGTAGGATGAGCCCAGACTAAATCAATACACTTTGTAATCAGCCAGCAAAGGTATTTGGACACAATGACTTGGAAATAATTAATAGTTATAAGGGGGAGTGCGGTGAGAAGGGGGGGCAAGAGATGTCACCGTATTTTATCGGAGCACTTCACAGTCTATGCTAAACTTTGATTTCCGGATTTTTGGATTTAGGAAAGAAGGAGGGGAAAAAAGAAGGGAAAAGTCCAGTATTCCAAAGCACCTACCGGCTTCAGGATGGGCACATTCCTTGTTCCCGGCACCTTAACGCTATGGTCTCGTCGCCCAGGCTGGCTCCTGGCAGACGGAGAGTCCCTGGCGCAATCTGGGGCTCTCCGGTATCTCTTGCCCCCGTACCCCCGCCCGCGTCCTTGCCCCAGCGCCCGAAGCCGCCTCGACTTACCCGCGGAGTGTAGGGTGGAGTGGGAGCGCCGCCTTCACGCCCGCGGAGGAGGCGCCGGCAGCACCATGGTCCCCGGCGCCGCTGCCGCTGCCCCTTGCCCGCTCTCTTGCCGCGCGCTCTTTTCTTCTCGCAAACTTTCGGGTTCTGCAGTCGACAAGAAACCGGGGCGACCCTCAGCAAGCCTTCCCCGTGCAGGCTAGGGGAAAATGCAGGGGATGGGCCGGGTGAGTAGGCCGAGGGGCCAAGACACAGAGGGCAGCAGGCTTGGAAGACCCGCGAGTGCGCGTGGAGAAGAGGATGCGGCTCAGGGAATCCCTGCAAGGCTCCCGAGATCGGGAAATTGGCCCGAGCCAAAGTCTCAGCACCTTCCCCAGGATCTTACAAAGTTGCAACAACAGAAAGGAGGGGGGAGGAACAGAGGAAGGGGGTGGGATAGGGATACGGTCGCAGGCGCAAGGTTTGGAGTTACAACTGTTTATTTAGTCCTTATTCTCACAGGGGGCGGGCGCTGCGCGGGAATAGGGGGTGCAGACAGCGATTTCGAAGCAAACTCTTGGGAAGGGGACATGCGACTTTGTTTCTGGGCTCCGAGCTCCCCGGTGCCCATGTGTGTCACCGCCTGTCTCCTGGGACCAAGGCGGAGCTCACAACAGGTGGGGAGGGGGGGATTGTCGAGGGCCAAAAAGGAGAAGGAATCTAAGTTTCCGAGCGCGACGCTGTCAGAGTAGGAGGGAGGCGGGAGGCGGGGGCGAGGGGAGGCGGAGGCAGCAAATGACCGCGACCCCGCGGCAACTGGCAAACTCCTTGACTGCCGGCGCCGCCGCCGCCGCCGAGGTCCCCACCCGAAGCGCACGCCGCTTCGGCTCACTGGCTCCGAGGAGTCGTGTCTGCGGGACAGGAATAGAGCGCCGGGAGTTCGGAAGGAAGGCTGCGCGCAGACGAGGGACAGAGAACCAGCAGCCGCCAGTACAGGGCCAGAAGAACGCGGGGAATCGCGCGCGTCGCAGGACAGATCCGGACTTGGGAAATTACCCCGTTCCCCAGTCTTAAGAGGGGGGTAAAATCAGAAAATGGATGGTGGTGGGAGAGGGATTACCGCGTGGCAACTCCTAGCAGCTCACCCTGCTCCCACGCCCACCCGCGGATCTGGCCAAAGCTATTACGGGCGCATGTTGGGGAATTAGGGCCATGGGGACCCAGCGCGCGTGGGGTGTGCGTCTGGCTGGGTGTGCGCAGGTGTGCGTTTTGAGTTTTCTGGACTCAGAGGGGCCGGCAAGAGAGCTTCCCCGCCACTAGCGTTGGGGCAAGGCGCGCGTGGCACCCGGGAAGTTCTCAGTGCGGAGCCCAGGGCCAGGCGTCCCCAGTCAGTCTGCTGGGGCCTCCGGGATAGCCCAAGGGCACCGAGGGGGCAGACACCAGCGGAGGAGGAAGGGAAAAAGTTTACTCCAAGTCCAAACTTTGGGCCCAGAAGGCGCCCAGCTCGCGCCCCCTCCCGCCGCGGCCCGGACCTGGGCCCCGCACCCGCCCCGCGCCCCAGCAGCTACCCGACGCCAACACCGGGCACCGAAAGTTGCGACAGGAGGCCTGGGCTTATTGATTTCTCTCCCCCGGGCGATCATGGAGAAAGGAAAGAGAGGCGTGAAGGGGCCTGGGGGAGGCAATTTAGCCTCACGCAGCCGCCAACGCCCCCCCCCATTTGACTTATGCAAATAAACCTAAAGGGTGCGGGCGCCACCGGAGCTCCCGGCACCCGCGCGCCGGCCTACAGCCCCCACCCATTCCAGAGCCTGGGCCCAGACCCAGCGGGGAAAGGAAGAGAGGGGAGGGCTGGGGGAGATGCACGTGGAGCCTGGAGGTGGAAAGTAGTTTTTTTTTCCTTTTTTTCTTTTTTCTTTCCTTTTTTTTTTTTTTTGTGCTGGTTGTTGTTGTTGTTTAAAGTGGCGGAAACAAGGCAGGAGGCTGCTTGGGAAAAAGTGGAGCAGAAATGGAAAAATACAAACTCACCCGCTGCAAATGGTCTCTCGGTGCAAACTAAGGTGTTTTCGGGCCTTTCCCCGCGCGCGCCCACTCCCGCCCGCGCGCGCACCCCGCGCACACACTCACTCGCGCACACACACTCGCGCACACGCGCGCACACACGCACTCCCGGGCGAGGGCCGGGCCGCCGCGAGTACAGCATGCAGCCGCCACACAATAAATAACAATAGATTCCTCCGCTCCGGACTAGCTTCCCGGAGCCCAGCCAGCGCCAGTGGCGGCGGCAGAGGCACGGACAGCGCCGGGCCGGGGGCGCCCCCCAGCCCGGCCCGCAGGCTTCTGCCAGGCTCCCCTCTCCGCCTCACGCACCCGGAAAGTCCCCAGTACCCCCAGAGGGCGAGCTGCCTCCCCTTCTCTGGCTACTGGGGCGCCGGCGCCCACCCCCTTCCCCCCCGCGACATCCCGGAACAAATAAATAAATAAGGCGCGCGAGAGAGGCCAACTCGTCGCGGAGGGAGATGTTGTTATTTTTTGCTGTTGTGCGTCCCTGACGTCACATCCACCTGCTGGGTAAACAACAGGGCTGGAAGGAAAAAAAATCGCAATTGGCAAAGCGAGGGGGGAGGTGTGAGTTGGGGGGGAGGAGGAACCAGGGAGGAGGGAGTCAGGGGTGTCCAGGGTGGATTGGGAAGAGGAGAGGGAGGCAGAGCCCCGCAGACCAGAGAGAGGAAAGGAACGCCAGAGCAGTCCCTGCCAAGAGAGGGATCGGGCAGGAAAGACCTGGAAAATAAGGGGAATGGGGGCGGAGGGGGGATTCCTCAGAAGATGGAAAAAGGGGGACCATTCACACACAGAAAAGAAATGAGAGGGAGAGTGTTAACAACTAAGGACGAAGATGGGAATGCGATGGCTATTTGCTTGGTTTCTGAGCTAAAAATACAGAGAAGGGAGGGGAGAGGATAGGCAAGGATGTGAGTTTCCTCCAGTTAAAAGTGAAAGTGTTTTGCCATCAGTGACAGTTGAAGGAGAAGGAGGTGGGAGGTGGTGTTTTCAACCCCCTTTTCTCCTTCTCTCCCGTCCTCCCTCGGTCTCTCCTTTCTTTCTGCACTTTGTCCAATGAAAGAAGGCGAGTTCGGGAGGTGAAAGTTCAGCAGAAGGACAAGCCCCTGTTTGCAAGGAAACAGAAACCCCGCCAGCTAGGGAAGGGTTTTTTCCCCCTGTAGGGGGAATCAGGAGAGACTACATTATGGTACGAGCTTCTCCCCTCTTTCTTGTCAGAGTCACTGTAGGAATGTGCAGTTAGGTCCACTTTGGGTGGAAAGTGGCTGCATCGGGAACTGTGTTCCTGCCATGGTTCCTCTTAGAAAAGCGCCAGGGGCTAGGATGTCACTCAGTTGTTAACACAAATTACCAGCTCTCCCACAAATCAGTCACGTGCAAGATGCTTTGTCCAATTCTTTGAAAAGGTGAGACTTTTTTTTTTCTTTTTGTTGTTTTGAAGTTTAGTTGAATTTAGGAGCCTGAATGAACTGTTTTAAAATACAGATATACATATATAAAACAGAAGAAACTAGTATTTCTTTCACTTTCATCAACACAAATTGACAATGAAGCAGATTTTGTGTTTTCAAGGGTGTGATTTAGACTGCTATACCTTTTATTATTGTTAACAGAAATAATTTTTTTTTTGAGCCCATAGCCTCAGAAGCTGCCAAACTTCCAAACTAGCATTTCCAGGTACTGGCTGGCTGGTATATCAGCCAGTTCTTTCTGAGAGCATATTAAGGGTCACCCCCGTGGATTCTTACAAAGTGCTTCCCTTTGGGGGGAGAAGAGAGGCATACTGTACCTTTGGTCTTGAGACTAGCACAGTAGTAAATAATAAATATCTTGAAAAGGTTATTATAATTGGATAACGTACTTTTATGAATATTGTTAAACATTCATTTACAGGAGAATTTAAATCTCAATTTCCAGGAAAGCTATAAGGCTACCACTTTAAAGCCATATCTGTTTCACAAGAAAAAAATAATAACAAAACCATTCACTGATGCTACAGAGTAGAGTCATAAAAAGGAAGACTGCTAAGGTAATTTCAACCTGGTAGAATTCATGTTGCATACATGCTACCCAAGTTTCCATGCTATCCAGAGAAAACTATTTACTGAATCTTTGAGACTAGAATTTACATAAATGTATTTTAGCTTGTGTAGAATGTCCTAGCTTCTTAGAGGCCAGGGTTCATGTTGCCTTGATCAAGACATTAATACATAGTGATGTGACTACCGTGCCTAGACCAGGTAGTGGGCATTGAGGGATGCAAAAATAAATAAAGCTCCTGCCCTTGAGGAGCTCACTGTCTAAAGCTGTCAGTAATAACATCTAGCATTTAATGAATGCTTACTATGGCCTAGACACTGATCTGAAAGTTCTACGTCACCTTCCTTAACTCTTGTATGCCAAGACTCCTTTGACATCACTGGAAGACATTTAAAAAGTAACAAATCTACTGCTATAGTAGCCAGTCTACTAAAAAGTTGTTTTTAATTTCTAAATACAGTATGCTTATAGGTATATGCATGGTTGTAGAATTATAACTCAGGGGAGTAGTGACTTATTTTAATGTGACAATTCTATCCCTAGTCTCTGAAGAAAAATTCATACCCTAATCTTATTGTACAGGTTAACAGTGTGTTTAAAATAAAAATACTATTATTGCCATACTAAAAAGATCTTTAGATTGCTACTGATCTTATCTGCATTTTAACTGCCTTAAATTCTACATTCACCTGCAAGTGGGGCCAAAGTTAGGTGAGCAACAAGTTTTGCAGACAAAAGGAATTCCTGGTTGTAAATCCCATGATACATTGTACTCAATTTTGTATATGATACTGTCTAATGTACTGCCTTATTAAAGAATTCCATGTCCATTTGGTTTACATTAGAAGGAAACGTAACTGCAGCTTAACATATTGTTCATTTTCAACACTGTCACATTACATTCACATTCGGAGGGAGATTTTAATTTCTTTATCAGTAATCAACTTGAACTTTCTTTTTGTTAAATTAAAGCAAGGTTTTTAAATAAAGGGCATAGGGGTAGGACGCCACCTTTTGGTGACAAAATAAATAGAAATCCCTTTTTAAAACAGATGTTCCTGACATAATTTTATTTTTAATTATACCAAGGCAAAGGTGCTTGTCCCTATTTCATTATATTTTAAGTAACAGGGAAAAAAACTAATGTAAATGCAAAATTAGCAAATTATAGTTAATGACAGCCAAAATTTCCCCAAAGATATCGGAATATGTTAGTGCCCTGTGACATACTATTAACTATACATTAAACATGAACTTCATTTGCCAAATACTATGTCAATGAATCTATGGACATTCGGGGGAACAGAAACCGGAGTGGCCATTTGCCACTTAATGAGATATCTGAGTGCTCTTGTTAATTTAGGAGTTGAACAGAAATTAAAATCACCTAATCCAGTGTTTCCTAAACAACAGTTACCACTTTTTAGATTTTTGCTGTATCTGTAAAATAATTATTTATGAATAATTAATATGCTATACTCATTGGAGTGCAGTTATTATGGTAATTGTAGTAAATATTTTCATTTAAATCAATCTTTTTTTTTTTGAGACAGAATCTCAAGCTGTCACGCTCGGTAGAGTGCTGTAGTGTCACAGCTCACAGCAACCTCAAACTCTTGGGCTTAAGCAAGTCTCATGTCAGCCTTCCAAGTAGCTGGGACTACAGGCACCCGCCACAATGCCCAGCTATTTTTGTTGTTGTTATTGTTGCAGTTGTCATTGTTGTTTTAGCTGGTGGGTCCAGGTTCAAAACCTGCCAGCCTCCATGTATGTGGCCAGCGCCCTACTCTCTGAGCTGTGAGTGCTGGCCCACCAATCTTCTTTTTATTTATTTTTCTTTTACTACTAGAAGTGGGAAATTGGTATCTCCCTTCATAAATTATAAACAAAGTCACTGGGTTCTCTTTGTTAAAGAATGGCAAAACTAAAATAAATTTTTTTTTTTTTTAAAAAGAGTGGCAAGTGTTAAGATGGGCCAATGACAAAGACATCAATCAGAATCTTTGTTTTCTCTTTCTTTTCTTTTTAACTTTTCTTTTCTTTCTTTCTTTTTTTTTAAACTACCAGAAGGGCTGTAGGTGATTGAAGGGAATACGGAATACAGTTATCAACATGTGATTCGGTGTTACCTAATGCCATGCTAGAGCCACAGCTCTTGCATTTCGAGAACGTGGGCATAACTGAGTATATTAAATGACAGATGAGGAAGCTGAGGCCTGGGAATTTAAGTTGCCTTCCAAGGTAAAATAAAACTGGTTAGTGGTTGGACAAGGACTAGAATCCAGGGGTCATGACTCTGTGTATTTCCATTTCACTCTTTCCCTTTCCTATAAAAGACCAGTCCTCAGGCATTATGCATCTTACCAGCCTCCTAGAAAGAGCCAACCTACATACTCCTTTACAGATGGAGGAGAAGCTGTGGCCACAGAGGGTCAAGGTCAACCTCTTAACCCTCTTCCTTCTTCCCCTAGAGGTGGCAGACATCTAGGAAGGGATCAACACAGAGAAACGGGAAGGGAAGAGTTGAGAGGAGAAAAGTGGATTCACGGAGAGGAGGTTAGCAAGCGTGGGCAGACCATTCTCAAGCTTAAACTCCTCAGTTTCCTTCCAAGAAGATAAAAATGGCTAATGAAAATCATGTGCTTCACAGTTAAGTGGTAAGAGGAGCCCATCTTCTGATGTGCCTGTATGTCCACACCAGAAACAAGCAGGGGGTCTTTTATTTTAAAGTATACAACATTAACAGGCACTCTAAGACAAATCCAGATTTGATAACTGAGTGGCTTGAAAAGCTAATCAGGGAATGGTGAACAACTCCAGCTCTAAAACTTTTTCCAAACAACAAAACTTAGGCTCAGCATTACATCTAGAGACAATAATGCACTTTTTCTGTCGTTCTAACCAGAGAGTAGGACCTTAGTTACTGAGATTGAATTTCCTGCTGCTTTTTTTCTTTTAAGGACACAGTTCTTTACACATAAATATGGTCTGCAAATATTTTTGTTTTTCTAAAAACATAAAAATACCTGTCCTTGTGAAAAGAGATTGCGGGTGACTGTACTGTGTATAGGGAGTACATGTGTCCCAGTGGATTGTAGTCCCTCTAAATGACAATGCACAAT